ATCTCCACTCTCGTGTAGTTTTTAACTGAAATGACCTCTAACACCAATGGACCAAACCACAGGGGAGTTAAATGAACGTCTTTGTAAAAGTGAGGGAAAAGTGCAACTGCCTCTAATCACACAGGGGCCCAAATGCAATTCACCCTTTTCAGCTCGTTATCACGTTGTATGAACTGGACGTCTGGAAGTCAATGCCATGGACTCTCCTATGCAACTCCCTTTACGTCTAAATTCAATCGCTTCCCAACGCGCATTAATTAATCCGTTTATACAAGCTGTGCTTTAGGGTAATTATTAAGCTTTTTTTTTTTTTTTGAGTGCCAACACCAATGTTAATTAGCCAACCAACCTTTAATAATAATCACTAATCTCTTTGAGTTAAAAGAAAGTAAGAAGTACTCATTTTGGTAGCATGACTAGTTCGTTGGATTAAAGAATTAGACCCACTAAAAAAATTTAGTACCTAGTATATTAAGTATAGTATTTTAGAAGTTTTTTTTTTATTTTTTATTTTGATTACATAATGGGAGATAATTATTCAAAATGGTTTTTTAACATTTATAAATTAAATAAGATATATTAATTATATTTTTTTATAATCAATTTATATAAAAATAAAAATTAATTTAAAATTTATTAATAACTTAATTAAAATTGTTTACATGACACTACAATCAAAAATAATATTTATATTTACATTTTATATGAAAATTTATTGCAAAAAGATGTAATACACCTTTAACTTATTTCCTAACTTAAATTTAAAAGTGGAACAACTAGCTTAATTTTATAATATACCACTTATCGAATTAGTGAGGAATCAGTAATAAGATTATTACTAGCATTGATTACATGGAAACATGAAAAAAATAAGGTCACTGTTCATATTTTAAAGAAAATGTGTTATGTGATTTATATTATATTAGATTATATAATACTAATTATTGAATAGAAATTGACCCTTAATATTAAGGGTCATTTTAATTTAATAACTCATATTTTGTAGTTTAAACTATAAAATAAAAAATTTATATTTTAAATATAATTAATTATAGTAAATCTCTCCATCTTAAAGCAAGGAATTCTTTTATAATCAATTTTGTGGAGGTTAAAAAAAGCAAGGATTTTTTCTAAGAAAAATTTTCTTTTAGGAAATTTTTTGTTTGAGTATAATTTGTTCGTAAAAATAGCTTCTTTTTTTTTGTGGGGGCTACAACTTTCTTTTGCTTAGGATATATAATTTTATTTTACAGTAATATAAAAAAATAATACCATTAATGCACCTGACCTTTCGAGTTAGCTTAAAGATATATTCTCCCCTTCTTTAATGGGTTCGAAATTCGAACTCACCCTTATCACTTTGGTAAAAAAAAAAAAAAAGTAATACCATTAATAAAGGGTAATAGACACCAATAAAAAGGTAAAAAAAACCCACAAAAGATAAAGACCTAAATATTTTAGTGATGATCCAAAAGTAAAAGATTTTTTATTTGTATTGAAGAAACTCATAAGTAAGAGAAAAGGATATAACTTTGATGTTAATGAAAAACTATGGCTTTAGAGTTTTATAATAAGTTTAATATTTTATCATTTAAATTATAAAAAACAACTAAAAAAATTAATATCAAATAATTTTTTTTATTTAAAAGATTACTATTTTATATTTTAAAACAATTTGGTAAACATTTTTTCGGTTTTCGAATTGGAAAAAGAATCAAATAAATTGTGTGAAATTACCGATGAGATCCTTTAATCATTTACGCTAAATGATTACTTGTCGGTAGGTTTGTTTTGAGCCCATGGTATTTCTCCTTTTCTATATCTTTGTCTAGCCGCAACATTTCCACGGAAAACGTGGAATAATTTTAAAGTCTTTTTTTAAACATTTTGAATTATATTAAATAAGTTTTATTTTATTGTTTTGATTATATTAAATTATTAAATAAAAATTATTAAATTAAAAAAAAAAACCTTTTGAACAATCCGTTTCGAGTCAATAGTTTAAACTTTAAGTTAAGATCATTTACTTTTTACAGTGACGCGTTCGGGTTCACAAATCCTTATCTCTCTTTTTTCATTTAATACATGTAAATGATTTTAATTTATTTAAAAAATTAATAAAAATTTTTAATATTAAAGAGTTTATTTTTATTTAATTATTATAATTATGTAATTTAATATAATTTAAATTATATAGTATTTTTTACATTAAATGATTAAAAAATACTATTAAATAGGAGATAATATCTAAAATTAAGACTCACCTCTCGCCTAAAAATTAGTTGCTTTGGATTACACTAAATATTTTTGATAATTTTATATAATATTTTTATATAAAAATGTTATGTAAATATAATTTAAATTATACAGTATAAATTATTAAATTAAGATAAACTCTCTTATAGTCAATAAAAAAATAAACTTATATATATATTCTTCTATTTCACTTCCATTTTGTTCCTTTATTTAGTCAGACTAAAATATCAAAATAAATAAATAAATGAAAACCCCTCTTCTCCTACTCTCTCTAATTTTTTTAAGTTAATTAAATAAAAAAAATTTCTTCCCTCCTCTTTCCCCTCAAATGAAACAATTTACTGTACTAAAGTAAAAGGTTGGGAGGTAAGGTTTCTATTTTAGGTGCATCTTATGAAATTGTCATATAAAAAGAGTGGGAGTCCTCTCTTTTTTAAATCTCCTCATGTACTAGGAGCACCCACTTACCTTCAAACACAAAATTTCTAATTATTATAAGGTCGGTGAAGAGATAAGTACAAGTCTGAGCAGATGTGACATCCAAGTTTAGATTAACAGGAAAAAGAATTCTGGTCCTAAAGGGCATAGGTCCAAATCGCAACCTCAACATCATCTCTACTAATTTTGCATTTGATAAAAAAAAATAGTACTAAGTTAATATCTATTTAAAAAAAATTAAGTTTAAAACTTAATTTGTAATTCAAAATGCGTTAAATCTACTTTTTATTTTAGAGAAGTATGGTCAGTGCTGCAACCACATGGGGACTGCAATTTTGCATTTGATTTTATAATCCAACTGCTATAAGTTGATTTATAAAATATATTTTCTCAATTTTTGAGTTGGATTTGTATCCCCTGTACTTATTGTAAACCTGTTTAAAAAAAAAAAAAGGAAAAAAAAAGATTACGCCCATGCCACTACATGAATGGATATGGGAATAAGAAAATGACGGATGCTGGCTGCGACAGCTTGGACACCCTCTTTTCCATAATTGCTTTTTTTTTTTTTTGATCAGGTAGATGATTAGGAAGTTAGTAGAATTAGTTTGTTAGTAGCTGAAATTTTTTCAGAAAAATAAACGTTCTACCCTCTCATTTGAGACGGACAATCATTAAGTCGTAAGTTGATGGAGTTCACGGCCTCACCCAAACCCTAAAGCTTGGGAGCCAACCAATTGGGTCACAGGCCCGGTTGGCTCCATAATTGCTTCTTTATTTTGTTGGATTTGGAAGCTTGAATAATTCATTTTTGTTAAAAATTTAAATAATTTAGTAATAGTTCTATTTTTAATAAAAAATAAAAAATAAAAAATTTAAATTATATAATATATAAATAAAATAAATTAAGAGATAAAAATAATTATTTTTTTATTAACATTTTGATATTCGATAATTTTATTAAATCTCAATTAATTTAAAATCGAATCATATCATATCTTATTAAAAGAAAATTCTCTCAACATTTATTTATTTATTCACAATACTTAAATTCAAAATTTTATTTAAAAACAAAAAACAAATCCCTTCCATCTAAAATAATAACAAGTGATTAATAAAATAATTATTTTTTGTACCACATAAAATAAATAAAACACCCTACTAAAAGACAAAAATTAAAAGTATGAAATGATCAAAAATTTAAAATCAGAGTTTCTCTCATGTCTCCACATGCTCCCTCCCTTCACCATCTACCAGCCATGGATGTTGATTTCCCATTTCCCTCTACAGCTGTACTCCTTCCCCTTTCACAATTTCTCCACAGCAACTCAAATCTCCTTTCTCTCTCCCAAAGTTTCTATTCTCTAATTCCAACTTTTTTTGTTTTTCCTTTTTCTTATCCTACGTTTCCCCTTTCTATACAGATCCTACATCTCTGCTTCTTCCAGCACCCTTCTCTCTATCTTTTGCAGCTGATCTCCTTCAAGTCCACTATCTCTTTGCTTATAACTTTTGCTTCCCTCAAATCCCTCTCTGTCTTTCATTCTTTATCCCAAAGAGAATTTTTTTTTTTTTTTGGCTTATTGGAAAGTGTATGATTTTCTCTACATTGATTTTTAGGATTTTTCATCTAACCTGGCCATTTCAAATGAAGTCTAATTCCTCATTTTTAGAATCTCAACTTCTTGGGATATGGGTGAGAGACTGAGTACCCATTCCGGTTCATGAAGGAAACTCAATCAGTTTGAGCTCTTGAGGATCAAAAGAGAGTAACATAATACAGCATCTCATCCAAAACACAATCTCAAACGGATAATCTTGCCATCCATATGCACTTTCATTGTTACTTAAAAAATGAATTACATAAACATTGGCGCCAAAGTTCACTAGTATGAATAACATAATCCTTTAGGGATCTTTATCACACTTATTCTCCAAAGAAGGTTCGAAACTTCCATGAAGTCACAAGCATCAACTAGTTACCATGTGTTAAATGTATCCTGTGGGGATTGTATGAGGTGCAGGCAGCAGAGTGGGTAAAAGACAGGATGCAACACAAGGGTAAAGATTATATACGACTGGGTGAACAAATCTATATAACTTATTCAAACTGAAACCTCATTAGAAGCCTCACATCCTTGAGTTTTTCTCCCTTTTTGTCATAAAGTGGGACTGATCGTATCCCAGGCTTCAGCTCGGCGACGGGCAAACATGTTTGCCCACCAAAGTCATCCTTCTCATGCTTGTCATATTCACGTACTTCAATCCTGAGCAGAGCCAGTTCTGGAATGGTCAGGGGAAATGTGAATTCTTCATTCCATACCGGAGACCAATCATCCTCGATTATTTTTGTTTTCCTCTTATCATTATCAGCTGGCACTCCAACAATGAAAATCTGCCATTCAGGAAGGAAGGGTCACATAATATGTACCCAAAGGTCAACATACCCGTTATAACCAATAAAACCATTAAGATTTGAGCCATGCACATCACATCTCATAACTATTAAGACTGGCATTATACCAAAACACCTAAGCAATTAAATGCCCAACAATAATGATCATATGCTACTTTATTCTTTGAGTAATTTGTGGTTAATTAGTAGTAACTAGAGTCTTGCTCGTTTACAATAGTACTTGAAGCAGCTGGATATGGTTTATATGATATGAGCACACGAACATGAAGCACAGCTAGGGTATGCTGGAACTAATATGGAATCTAATAGACTGTATAACAGTTTTTGGTTCATTATTGTGCAGAATCTTCACAAACCTTTACATAAAAATCAGGTGGAGAGTACGTATCAAAGTGTGTGTGGCTAAAGTCCAAGCGCCATCCATCCCCCAAATATATTTTCACCTGCTAACAAAACAAATGCTATAAGAAAAGACCACAAGCATCTTTGAGTCTGGCCAAAATAATATGTTCTTCACCTTCAATCTTCTCTGGACTGGAATTGTTTTTTCAGGATCAAATACTTCACTTACTGGACCTTTTTGCAACAGGAAGTTGGGTTTTCTCACATAACCACATCCTCCATTGGCTCTAAACATGCCATGCATCAACAAGAGATATTTTCCATATCCCTGTCAAATGAAGGTCAAATGTCAGTAGGAATTATGTGGAAGAGAATAATGCTCAAAGTTTAGATATGAATAAGACACAAGATCAGGTTAATAATAAACAATCCAACATCTTAAAATACATACTGATTGTTTATAGAGCCATAAAATGTTCAAAGTGACAGATCATATATTATCATAACATTAATCAGTTACTTTGACTTTTCCCTGTCTTCTTAGAAAGCGGGATCCCTTGATTAAAAGTAGTGCAATGCTGCAGTCTTGCTCACCTGCATGTTGAATGCAACCATCTGAGCTCCATGCATCCACCCAATAATTGGATTGTAGTTTGAGGAGTTAAAGCGTGTACCCTTAGGGTATACCCTTAGGATATTTTTCAAGGTAAACCTGGAAGACAACAAAAATCAGCACTAGTCATCCACAGAAGAATGTATATGGTAAAAAAGGAACAGCTTGTTTGAGGCTTCAAGCAGCAGGGATGCTTGACAGGTACCTTACAACATGAGTTCCATGAGATGCAGCAGCCTTTTCAAATTCCTGCTCACTTAAACTAAGACGTCTAACCTTATTAGGTGCAACTTGCAATGAATTCTTCAAGGCACCTTTTGGCTTCCCAGCATGAATGGTTATTAGATGCTTGTATTCAGGTGATCCAATTTGGCCTGATTTGCGATCACATACATCAAAGTCTTCATCCTCTTGATCGCTATCACTCTACTATTCATGAAAAAGGTCTGAGCAAACTAGATTTTTTAGAAATAAAATCATGACAAGGCAAATTTCCCTTCTGTGACTCCATCTTACCCTGTAATCAGAGTCTGGTTCTGCTGAGTTGTTAGGTGTCTCCATTCCAGATGCTTCTTCCTCATCAAGATACTCTTTTGGTGGTTTGGTTGAAATAATTATTCGATTTTTCAATGATTCTGGTGAAGGAAACTCAGTTAAGCAGTCTGATTCTGGGTAGTACAGCATATCTCCAAATGTTTGAGTCACCATCTAAATGCAAATTTACATGAGTTCAAGAAGAAGAGCAGAAATAAAACAAGCTATTTACCATAATTTGTGAAGAGAAGATGAAGGCTAACCTCTGCAACTTTGGCCTGAAGGTCTGGGGTAAGATGGTCTTCTAATGTTATGATTACTGGATAAGGAGAACTAACAAAACCATACTCTTTTATGGACTTCAAACACTTTAGAAGGGATACTGGAGAGGTCAGGGTCCTACAGATATTCATAGACGACACAGTAAAATAAAGTTTGTGTACAGTTACCACATTTCATGTATGTGAATTCTATAAGTTTGTATAAAACTAAAATGCAGTCTACTCAAATAGATGATGAATCATGTAAGTCACAGCTTCTGGACCCATTGTACACCGTTGACCACTAAATGCTTCTTCTTGTATCTTGTGGCATATCTATTAAATAATATATGGATTACCACCGTACAAAACTCTGTAATTATCATCACCATGCTGAAAGTATTGTTAAATTTGAGAATCAGTTCTCATTCTCACCTTCCATGAAGAACAAGAATTTCGTCTTTATTGGAACTTGGTCATAAATCAAGTTCAATCACTCTCACTCCCCTCTGTAAAGCCTTGATGATTGGCACCTCACTACAATCACTGCTCAGTTGATTCCCAGTTAGATAGGAATTGTGTCCAGTGTATATGAAATAATGTGACAATGGAGCAGTCATGTCCTGGTGTACCTGGAGAATACAACATAAATTGGTGAAGCCTAAACTACAATTCAGCAAAGAATTTATTAGAAAATCGAAAAGAGAAATATAAATGAAAAACCAA